AGAATTCCACTTACAGCTAGTTAATATACTAAATACAGATCCATCGCTCTTTATAGCATAAATGATGACACACAATTAGCACGTCGCTGAGCGATTCGGTCTTCAGCCAAAAGCAATGAAGGTGCTGGTTATGCCGATTTCTGAGTAGTAACGGACAATTTGTTTACAATCAAAACTTTTTTTTTTTTTTTTTTTTTTCTCTTTATTTACAGCAATCAGAATACAAGGTATCCTATAAGCTATTGTGATAAATTTAACAAATACACACACATGCATACGTACATGCACACAAACATACTCACACGCACGTTAACAAAAAAAGAAATTATGTAATAGTAACCACTTCAGCAAGTGGTATACTAGTTGGCTCAGGTCCTTCGGCCGTTTACTGGGAAAACTACGTATTTTAAGATCTAATGTTATGAAATTATCATATACACTAACATACGTACATACATACGCACAGGCATTCACACACACACTCTCTCAATAAAAGATTTATAAATATTTAATAGAGGTCACTTCTTCAAGTAATATTCAGCTTAAATCAAATCACTCGGCCATTTCTTCTTCAATCTTCTGCTGTTTGGAGTTGCTAACAGTGGCGCCATTAGTGTGTTTGGATGGTTTTCGAGCTTCCGGTGATGTTTTTCACTGATTGATTTAATGACTTCATTAACGAACTGTATATTTAGATCGTTATGGATCATCTGATTAGTTACGTACCAGGGTGCTCCTGTGATCAGACGAGTAATTTTTGATTGCATCCGTTGTATAAGAGCAATATTTGATTTGCTTGAGCAGCCCCAAATCTGAAGACCATAAGTCCACAACGGTTTAATTATCATATTATAAATAAGGACCTTGTTTTCTAGAGATAATTTGGATCTATGTCCAATGAGCCAGCCGAGTTCTTTGACTCGCGTTTTCATTTGCTTAACTTTAGTGCAAATGTGATGTCGCCAGGTGAGTTTTTCGTCAAAGTGAATTCCAAGATATTTGATGGTGCTGACTGTTGGAATTTGATTGCCATTTAAGAACACTGCAGGACACGATTGTTTGTTAAGAGAGAAAGTAATGTGGCTAGACTTAGACTCATTGATGCCTATGTTCCACAGTTTGGTCCAATCTTCAATCAAATTAAGATGATACTGCAGTTTTAAACAAGCAGTACTAGGGTTGTCATCAGTGGATAAGATTGATATGTCGTCTGCAAAAGTGGCGATTGTGGTAATAGATGTTGTAGGAATATCGCGCGTAAACAGGGTGTATAGGAATGGACCCAACACACTTCCCTGCGGTACCCCTGACTTGATAGGAAATACGTCAGACGACGAGGAATTAACCTTGATTATAAACTTTCTGTTGACAATATATGATGTTAAGATATTATGATACTTTACTGGTAAGTAGAGTCTAATTTTTGTGACGAGTCTGTCGTGGCACACTTTGTCGAATGCTTGTTTGACATCCAAAAAGACGGCGGTGCAATATTGTTTGGCTTCGAATGAGTTATAGATATGACTGGCAATCCTGTGACACTGCTGTATGGTTGAGTGCTCTTTACGAAATCCAAACTGGTGATCAGGGAAGATATTGGATTCCTTCAAAATATCTTGTAGTAACAGTTTTTCTAAAATTTTTGACAATATAGGAAGAAGGCTGATTGGCCTATAAGATGTGACTAAGTGTTGATCCTTGCCAGTTTTTGGAATCATCTTTATTAAAGAGGTCTTGAATTGATTTGGCCAGTAGTCAAGTCTCACAATAGCGTTGAAGATGTAGGTGATTATAATGAATCCTTTTACAGGCAATTCTTTGAGCATTCTGGGAGATATTTGGTCTATTCCAGGCGATTTTTTTGCTTTAACTTTCTTTATTTCACTAACTACTAATTTGAGAGACAAGAAACGTTTCTCGCTTTCGTGACTGCTATTATGGTCTAAAGCAGGACTGATGTTGACATTATAATTTGATAAATTGTTAGGCCGAAAAACTGTAGCTAAGTATTCCGCAAATATATCTGCTTTGTCTTTGTCACTTCTTGCCCATGCAGAGGTCTGGGTATCCATACGAACTGGAGGATTTTGAAAGTTAGGTTTAAGTTTATTTTTGACGGGTTTCCAGATAGAATTGTCAAAACGATTCAAACTGGATACATAGCTATTAAATCTCACTTGATTGAGTTCCTTTAACCTTGCTTTCAACTTGTTGCTCAGATTATTGAAAATGTTTTTGTCTGTGGGCAAATGACTATGTTGCCACCTACGCCTAGCTTTTCTTTTTTCTGCTATGAGACTTTTTATTTCATATGTTGTTGTCTGGCAGGAGTTTACTGTCGTAACAGGAGTAGGAGTAGCGAACTTTGCAGCATCGTATAGAAGAGTATTAAAGGAATCGATGGTGTTTTCGATATCAGCGGAATTTTTAAGTTTAACTTTGAGGTTAACTTTGTCTTCTACGAACTTCCGGTAGATGTCCCAGTTTGTTTTATGGTTGCAGATCCTAGAGGAGGGTTTAAAAATACTTGCCGAAGTGCTTATGCTGGCTATTACTGGACTATGGTCAGATGATAAGTCGTAGCTTGCTCGTACTTCCTTGTGAATTGAGCTTATACCCGATGATACAAAAAAGTCCAATAGATCTGGTTTTTTGGCAGGATCGCTCGGCCAGTAGGTGGGGGAACCTGAAGAAAGAACACTATAATTGAGTTTATGTATTGTATCATATAGCTGTTTTCCTTTGGGATTATTTAATCTTGAGCCCCAATTGACGTGTTTGCTGTTGTAGTCTCCGCCGGCGATGAAATGACTACCTAGTGTAGAGAAAAAATCTTGAAATTGTAAACTGGTTATATTGTGCCTCGGCGGACAATAGACTGCAGAAACACATAAGTTGAATGAATTCATTTTTAATGAAATTGATGTGGCTTGCAAAATTTCAGATTCGTATTTATCCAGTTCGTAATGAAGAAGATTAGATTTTACAATAATGGCAGTCCCACCATGTGCGGTGCCATCGGGATGGTTAGTGAAGTATGACTTGTAATTTGGTATATAAAAGTTTGAATACTTGGTGAGGTGTGTTTCACTAATTAAAAAGATGTCGATATTGTTGTGTCTCAAAAATAATTCTACTTCGGCTTTGTGTTGATACAAGCCGTTAGCATTCCATAATCCTAAGTTTAAAATATTAGCCATTATTTAGCTTTATTAATGTTGATTAATGTTGATAACATTTTGACAATCATGGTGTTTTGTTCCATTAACTGGCTAAACATATTTCTAAATTCAGTCAGGAAATCAGACATCGATGGAGAATTACTGTTGTTAATGTGATTTTGATTGTTGTTAAATAGGTTTGATTGCGATTTTATTACCTGAGCATAAGACATATGCTGAGGATTTGCGTACTGAGAAATTCTATTGTTGTGTAGGTTGGATTTGTACCGGTTTGCATTTGTGTGTAAATAAGTCCCGTTACTTCTGCCTATTGTTGCTTGATCGTTATCTGCACCGACAAGGTGAAGGTAGTAAGAACACCCTTTGTAGTTTGCGGTATGATTATCGCCGCAATGATAACAAAGGGGCGGGGCTTCGGCTGCTTTTGTACACTTTTTAGACTCATGATCAGAGCCGCATTTTACACATATAAATCTGCGGTTGCAATAACGCTGGGTATGGCCGTACATTTGGCACCTTACACACTGCGGAATATTAGATGATCTTATTGGGGGCTCAAAATGAATTATTTGGTTTAACATTTTATTCATTTTAAAAATTGACGAATTGTTTTCTTTGGGTTCTAAGTCTATGTAAAACATGTTCAACAGTTGTTTAGTTTTTGGATGTATGATATTAGTAATATTTCTGACAGGATGACCTTCTTTTTCAATTGCGGCTTTAATATCATTTTTATCTGTGGCGTAGTGCAGATATTTGAGTACAACCCTGTATGAGCGTTCCGCTTTTATCTGGTAGGTATGAAAAACGACGTTTCTTTCACGCAGAAATTTAACAAAATTGCGGTAGTCTTCTATTTCAAAAATGTTGAATTTAATAGTTTTATTGGGTAGGTATTTAGTGATGTATTTGTTTTTATTAATAATTGAATTAATATCCGCTATCATAAGATTGTAATCTCGAACCCCGTAGACAAATAAAGGCGGAGGAGTAGATTTTTTATTATCTGTTGCCTCGTCTGATGGTTTAGAAACTTTGTTTTCTAGAGCGCTGAATTTGTTGGCTAATTTTATGGGAACGCTTTCATTACTTACTGCGTTGTTCGGGCGACGTCTTTTAGCGGAAGTTACCTCTTGCCATGGGTTTTTATTCGTGTAATCAATCACATCGCGTGCAGTGGACTCTGGATCCATTGTTGCTATTGAAGACAAATTACTTGTTGATGGAATGGGAGTTGGATCCGACGATGTTGATCTGTTTACTGCATCATCGTTATTTCTTTTTGTAGTCATCTGGTTCAGAACTAGTTGAGTAGAATTATTTTGGTCTTCGTGAATGATGTTAAATGATTCCACAATTGGTATTGTGGAGTGATAATTTATAGTACTCCCTGACGGGAGCACTATATTTAATTAAAAAGCACTGAATTCACAAGTAAAGTCACTTACTAGATCAAACACTACACTAAACTGTGACTAAATAAATGCTGTTTATTATGCTTGTTGATTGTACTCAGGTATTGTATAATCGATGTGTTCGCTTCGAGCGCTGAATGAAGAATGACAATCAAAACTGTAGTTTAAATTTTGGAAGAACAATTTATCTAAAATTAAGTTATTTATTTTAAGTGTTTTATCAATTGAAATCATTATAGTACTTTTTAACTCTTTTTTTACAAAATATTGAAATACTTAAAAGAAACGCAGAATATTTTTGGTACAAAATAGTTTTTATTTCTCTATAAATAAATCACATTTTACATACATGTTGTACTCAATGTAAAAGATAGAAAGAGTTTGTCGATTTTATTACATAAATTCACCAATGATGTCCGTGATGTCCGAGGGAATGTACAGTAGGTCCAGTTTTAGAAACAAGTGCATTGAAACCATCTCTGTCGTTGGCTGCATATTTAACGGTGCGTACGGAACCATCAGGTTCAACCAATGAGTATTGACCTAAGATATAACAATAATTATTCCAAACATATGAAATATTTTTCAGGCAAAAATTTCTAATTGTATGTCACCTTTTACTACGTCACCATCACGGACTTCATGTTGTGATTTGACATCTTCGGTGTAGTGATCGTTGACACCATATTGGAATGAGTATTGAGGATGAGTCTGCACAAATAAAAAAGAGTAAGTGTTAAATTATTACAGGTTTGTAAATATTTCACACAATTTTTAACTTCCCGTAGGGCAAGTTATAGTAATCGAAAATGAAAATTTTTATATATCTTTATGCTTCAAACCTTCTGAACATTTTGGCATATCTTAAAAAAATGGATGTATGTGTGTGTGTGCGTGTATATATGTGTGTGCGGATACAAATTTTCGTCGACGATTTCGGGAACACGGATGAAGCAATTTGAATAATTCAAAAAACATTCGATTCGTATTGATAAGGAGACCTGCTGATTAGCTTTTGGCGAAGGCAGGTCTAGCCGTTCCAATGATACGGGGCAAAAAGTGCCGAAAACGGTAACTCAGTTTTTAAGAGAACAGAGTGTCCGATTTTAATAATTCAAAAAACATTTCACTTGTATTGACAAGATGAAGAACTGGTCAAATTTTCATGGAGGCAGGTCTAACGGTTTCGGAGATCTAGTAAAATAAGTAAAAAAATTAGACATATGCACATCACATTATCAGATATTTTATAGAGATTTTAACAATAAGTATACATTTTGTTTACATTCCTATAGGTTCCGTACCAATGTTTATCCGTTAGACGGCGACGCGGCGCTTCGATATGTCGTCTCTATGCAGTTAGAGCAGTTCGATTGCTTTGAAAAAAAGTTCAGAATTTCCAAAATAATTCAAAATACATTTTTCTTCAAAAAGTCTTTTTCAAAAAAAGTAAATTTTTGTCAAAAATTTATAGTTTCTCAAAAATCTGTTTTTGTTTTTCATAGTAAATTTATTTCCAAAATGTTAATCTTTTTTAAAAAAAATAATTTGTGGTACGGGAAGTTCCAGCAGTTTGCCTTAAGGCACAATGCCATGCGCCCCACTAGTTAACTTACATGATGATAATCGTTTCGTGCGTAAGAGTTGTGGTGATCATAGTTCAAGCCATGTCCTGTGTAAATTAATGCATGGCTGGCGTGGTTAAGGCCATGGCCAGTGTATTCATGAGCGTAGTGGTTGTTGTGGTTTACTAGATTTGAGTAACTTTGGGCGCCATATCCATATCCATGTCCATAAGCAGCATAGTTTTGGTACTCATGATGCCTATATTTGTGGTGCCCATGACCGTGGTTTCCGTAATTATGATATCCAACTGGTGAGTCGTGAGACACTGTTGAGTAGCTCACAGCTGATCCTCCATGACTATAAGCGCGAACTACTACCAATGTGGCACAAAGAGCAAAAACCTTAAATTTATGAGTAACAAATTATAATCGCGCAACAAGATAGTAAATTTTTGTTCTTTAATCATAGTTAAATCAATAAAATGGTTTCAAATCTTTTAAATATATTATAAACTTATATCTTCACCTTCACAAATGACATGTTTAACACTATTTAGACTGACTGTCAACTGATATTTTTTTCATGATATTTTCAACTTTTATACCAAATTTCGATGAGCCAGTCTGTTAAATAGTTCGGAACGAATGGCAAGGTCGCGATTGTTTAGCGCTAACCCCACAATAAATTCATCATGTGAATTTCTCAATGATTTTTTTTATCTATGTGTTATGGGGTTTACATAATATTTCATTATCGGCATTCTCGTAAAAGACATATCTCGTATATAACCCCAAAATTTTACGATAAATGTATCGGTATTGTTAAATCATTATACAAAATCAACATGGCATTTGTTAAGGTTAATGAACATTCATTATTTTATTTGAAAGTCAATTTACTAAATGTTTTCTCATAAAATTGGTTTTACATGTTATAATAATATTAATATTAATTTAGATTCTCACACTTTTTGCGTTATTGGTGGTTGTAACGGCTTATCGTCAAGGAGGATCTCTGAGATACTCCTCCGTGTTTCAGGACTCACTAGTGAGATATCATAATTACGGAAACCATGGTTAGGGGCACCATAATTATAGGCACCATGGGTATCAAAACTATGCTAATCACGGGCATGGTTATGGATATGGCGCCTTAAGTTACTTAAATCTAGTAAAATACAACAAACACTACGCTCGTGAATACACTGGCCATGGCCTCAACCACGGCAACCATGAGTTAGTTTATGCAGGACATAGCTTAAACTATGATCACCGAAATTTTTGTGCACATAAACATGATTATCATCATGTAAGTTTAAAACTAGGTGCAAGTGGCATTGTGACTTAAGAAAAGTGTTATGAACTTTTCGATTTGTGTAATTAATCGAATTAATCAATAGATATTAAAATTTTATGCAATCTATCTGTCTACCAATCTTTTTGTTTACATGTCTAAATGTCTACCTATTAAGGTGACTACCTGTCTAAGTTACAACTTGTCAAATTTTGTAGCTGCCGCTTATCCACCAGTTTATCTGAATACTTGTCTACGTATTCACCTGTTTACCTGCATAATAGTCTTCTTGCCCACCAGATCTACCTGTGAGTTGACCTGCCTACTATCTATCTGCCTATTTTCTCACTTGTTTTCTTGTTTACCTGTTTACCTGTCCACCTGTCTACCTGTTCACTTTTCTACATTTCCACGTGTCGACATGTCATATGGGTATCAATATTTGTACACGTATATAAATCAATAATAATTTATTTAGTAATAATTTGAAATAATCATTTTAATAAACAAATGTATTTTTTAACTCTGTAACTGCTGATTCTGCGTTCGCAAAAAAGTAACCAATATTTCATTTCGTGGGCTCGCCCGTAGGTAAGCGGTTAAGAGCGACGGGACCTGAATCAGAGGTCCCGGGTTCGATACCGACTTCGAGCAGTCTGTGGTCAGGCGGCAGTGACAAAGATTTTCACTTGAAAATATAGATATTCAAAGATAAATTCCAAGTGAAAATAGCCCTCACCCGGAATTGCTGCACCAATAAATATACTCGCCCTATTACAAAAATTATAATAATAATATTTCATACTGTTATGCGCCGACACCTTTACCTTTTTACCGTCGCATATATGGCTCTATGTGCATACTCATTACTTATCTATGGACTCTACATCCCTTGAGTTCCAATCTACCTTCTATGGACCCTATATTTTCGGCTAGACAGAGGACCTCTACAAGAAAACACAAGGCTCACTCTCTCTCCATCTGTACGTTAAGACACACATAACCTATAGTAAACTTTAATGAAACTTTGTATAATAAATTTTGTAATAAATTTATAAAACTTGTGGTGTGTTTTAAAATATCAAATTACCTTCATCGCTAAAGGCAAATATATAACATTGGTGGCAGCTTGTGTGAGATGAACTGAAAAATAGGCCTGAATGTAAGGTAATATTTTGTAAATTCTACAAAATCAAAAAAAAAACACATCGACGTCACAAAATAAGCGAAGAAAGTATTCCGTATCGGACACAAGGATCGGTCAGAAACGTATAGCGTGGAAAGCTTGTATCGGACGGCCCAGGCATCGGACACAAGCCGCAGACATCCACAGCGTATTCGAAGTTCTTTTGGCCCGAATTCCGCCATTACGGCATAACACTCTATAAAGGAACGCATTTTGGACGCCATTACAGGACAGTATCTTATACATATTTTATTATAGTTATTATACGGTCATTACCAAATTTTAGACATTCTATTTCTTTCTATATTTATCATAATATAAATTTTTATATTATTTCCATATTTTTCTATATCAAAGTTTCCATATTACTTAAATAATGTTTTAATTAGCAAAATTTAATTGTAACTTGTGTGTGATATTTTACTACATCTTCTATATTCCATTTCAATTACTATTTCTACTATTTCCAAATTAATCACACTAATTGCAATTATATTTTTTATTATACCATATTTTACTATATCCTACTATTTTAAGCATTTCCATATCTTGTTTTCTAAATCTAGACTATAGCTGTGTTTTGTGTGTGAAAGTATCATATTTACTAAATCTACTATTTCTTACAAATTACTATTTCTATTTTCTATATCCTATTTGATCACACATTTTACAACTATATTCCTAATATTTACTATATTCCAAAACAAATTGATCTACTATATTCTAATTCTACTATATTCTAATTACCATTTTCTTTCATTATTAAAATTTATACTATTTATGAAACTTGATTGTGATATTGTGTAAAATTACTATATTTTACTATTTCATTATACTATATTTTACTATTTCATTACACTATATCTACTAAATTATTATACTATATTACTATTTCCAATCAACCACACTGTTCATAATTAATTTTAATTATTACTATTTTTTTCAATCTCATTTAAACAATTTTACTAACCTCATGTTAAATGTGTAGGTTAATATATTGAATGTACAAGTGAACCAGCAGAGCTTTGAGTATACAAATCAGAGAATCATTAGCAGATCCAACGAGTCCAGTTTTGAAAATTATTCTACGAGTCCATTTTTGAATATTGTTCTACGATTAGTCTCAGAATCAAGTAACCAATCACTCTACTAGTAGACTCAGTTTTCAATAGGGTTAATATTTTACCAATTCCTTCTATTCGAAGAACAAAATTTTCTTCGACTCCTTCCATTCCATCTTCTTCGAACACTCATCAACCATGGCTTTAAAGCTCAAGGAAGTTAGAGAAATGATTCTTTCATTTGATGGCTCTAGCCAAGATAAATATACTCGTTTCATTCGCAACTGTAATTTTGCTTTTGATCAATTACATGAAGACCATCATACTGCACTTCTCGACTACATTGTACATATTAAAATCGAGGGCAAAGCCATGCAGGCTATACAATACAAATCTTTCAAAACTTTTGATGAATTAAAAAGCGAGTTAAATAATTTATATTTGGATCGAAGATCTATTTTATCTTTACAAACTGATTTCAATAAATGTAGACAAGGACATAACGAAAACGTACATTCTTTTGCAAGTCGATTAGAACAACTTTTGACTGAACTCACTGAAGCTACTATTAGGAAAAATAATAAACCTTCCACAAACTCAACAATTTCTGATCTTTTAAATGATCAAGCTCTTCTCATTTTTCAAGAGGGTTTGAATCCTAAATTAAAATATTTAATTAAAGCTAGACAACCTTCTACTTTGCAACAAGAAAAAACTATAGCTATTGAAGAAGAAACATTAATGACTTCAAGCTTTTCTTATAGTAACGATTTTAAACCTTTTAAGCGTTATTTTCCTACTTATCCAACTAAACCTCTTCAAACACCTAAAATTGAAATTCCAATATGCGCTTATTGCAAAAATAAAGGCCATGTAATTCAAGATTGCCGCAAGCGAGCTTTTAATGAACGTAATAATCTAAAAGTAAATTCTGTAGATACCGAAACTCCTAGCTGTAGCACAGCTCAAGTTAGTAAGGCCAGTGAGTTGAGAGAAGCTCAGCTTTCTTGTTTAAATAATCACAATAATTTAGCTTTCATTAATTTTCATAGTATAGACGCAAGTTCAGATAAAATAAGTTTATTAGTAGATACAGGGGCCGAAGTTAGTTTAGTAAAAATTAAAACTTTAGCAGACAATGTTGATATTAGGCATCAATGAACACCATTGGTAAGGCAGATTTGAAATTTAAGTTAGGGAATAACTTGGTTAGTTATACTTTTAATATAGTAAGAGATGATCTTCCAATGAAGGGAGATGGCATTTTAGGCATTAATTTTTTGAAAAAGTTTCGCGGTAATGTAGATATAAATAACTCTAAATTAGATTTTCAAGACTTTGACTCACTTTTATTGCATTACCCATCAATTAATTTAAAGCCCAGGTCCGAAACTATAGTGAAAGTTAGTACAGATTCAAATTCAGTAGGAGTCATAGAAAAGTCAGAAATAAGCAATGGGGTTTTTATTGCAAATACTTTAGTTTCTCCAATAAACCTAGAATGTATTGTAAATATAATTAATACAAATCAACATATAGTTAAATTAGACTCTCCTAAGTTTAAGGTAGATAGGATACCAGACCCCATAGTTTTAGATAAGATTAGTGTAGGTAAATTCATAAACATTTGCCAAAATTCAAGTTCAGATTGGATTAAGACAATCTTAGATAGTGTTAAAAAGACACATTTAAATAAAGAGGAGTTGCATTCCCTTACTAATATTTGTACTAAATTTAATGACGTTTTTTTTTATAATTGGAGACAAGCTTCCTTTTACTACCTCAATTTGTCACGAAATTAATACTCCTTTGCGGACTCCACCCATTAATGTAAAACCATATCGTATTCCTGAAGTTCATAAAAAGGAAGTAGAGAGGCAAGTGCAGGAAATGTTAGACGATAACATTATCGGGCATAGTACGAGCCCGTGGAATGCTCCTATATTACTAGTTCCCAAGAAAAGTGATAATAATGACCAAAGGTGGCGATTGGTTGTTGATTATCGAAAATTAAACAATTCAACTATTGGCGATTCCTTTCCATTACCAAATATAACGGAAATTTTAGACCAGTTAGGTAATTCAAAATATTTCTCTACTCTAGACCTCGCCTCAGGGTTTCATCAGATCCCAATGAGTGCAGAGGATAAATCAAAAACAGCTTTTTCCACACCTTCTAGCCATTTCGAATTCAAACGTATGCCGTACGGTTTAAAAAATGCACCGGCTACGTTTCAACGCTTAATGAACTCTGTATTAACCGGGCTACAAAATGTAAAATGTTTTGTTTATCTTGAAGATGTTGTGATATATTCAAATACTTTAAAAGACCATGACGATAGACTTTGTGAAATTTTGGAAAGACTTAGACAAAATAACTTACGGTTACAGCCAAACAAATGTAATTTCTATTGTAAAGAAGTATACTATTTAGGACATATAATCACTCCTGAGGGAATAAAACTTGACCCCTCCAAAATAGACGCAGTTTTAAATTTTCCTATTCCAAAAAATTCTAAAGATATTAAATCCTTCCTAGGCCTTGCGGGTTACTATAGGCGTTTCATTAACAACTTTTCTAAAACTTCCAGACC